AAGATTTTACACCTAGCTGAAACAAGTGTACAGATGCTAAAGACCTGGTGCCCACTGGCAGTGCTGGTAGTAACTGATTACTTGTAATCTGGATTACGTAATCAGATTACATTTACCTTTTAGAAAATACATTACACATCATTCACACAATGGCTGGAAATTATTCATATGTGATCCTGGACCACAAAACCAGTCATAAGGGTCCATTTTTCAAAATTGATTTATTTTGATTTATACACCATCCGAAAGCTGAATAAATAAGATTTCCATTGATGTAAGGTTTGTTAGGATCGGACAATATTGGCTGAGAGATACAACGATATGAAAATCTGGAATCTGAGGGTGCTAAAAAAAATTGTTTAAATATTAAAAGTTGTTCAAATGAAGTTCTTAGTAATCCATATTACTAATCAAAAATTAAATTTTAATATATTTACAGTGAGGAATTGACAAAATATCTTCATGGAACACGATCTTGACTTAATATCCTAATGATTTTTGGCATAAACGAAAAATGGATAATTTTGACCCATACAATGTATTTTTGTCTATTGCTACAAATATACCCCAGCGACTTATGACTGCTTTTGTGCTCCAGGGTCACGTATGGCATTTGTTTTGCACTATCAATAGGTTTCCTATCGACTGCAAAGGATCTTAAAAAACATGTGGAGGTACACTTTATTCCTCAACAATGCAAATCTAATCAAAGTCAGATGAGATGATTATTTTATTTGATTATTATTGTTTTTTTATTATTATTATCGTCACCAATTTATGTCTTGGAGGGCTTTTCGTTTTTTTTTTTTTTTTTGGCTTCCGGTCTCATCTGCGTCCACTCCGTCCAGCTATTTTTAGCTGAACAAAACAGTTCGTTTTGCTGCTTGATATTGAAAGTTGGTGTGTCTTATCATATTTTAATGTATTATCTTAATTATGAACACACTGGTTTATAGTGCAAACAGTTTTACCGTTTACTGCACGTTCTTATCCTCCTGGTTATTTCCCTATAGCGGCTAATGGACCGGAAGTCTCACCCTTGCTTCCACGTTGAAAAAAAAAAGGTGGATAAGGAAGCTGCCTGTACAGTCCAGTGCATGTTTATGTTTATGCACATACTGTATATTCCACTTCTAGTGTCATTGACAAAATGAAGATTTGAGATGTACATTTTACTTCATAAAAAAGGTCATTGGACTTATTAGAAAAAAAAACACTAAAACTGACCATTTTAAAGTATTTCTGCTTTATGGGGGGATAACTCTACTGGTACCCGAGGTTGGGAATCATTGTGAGGTTATAGAAATGGACTTTCTTTTTCATACCCACATCACCCTCTGCTGTCCATTTAGAGATGAACAGATTCTGTGGGTGGGAATCTTTGATGGAGAATTAAATGTTTTCTTTAAAATAGTGGCAAAGAAAGTGTTTTTGTGAATTCCTTTATTAGTTTTAATAAGTTTATTAGTTTCTGAATTTTCTTTGTCTTTTATGCTGTAGCTTGGAAAAAGAAGCACTAAAGATTTTACACCTAGCTGAAACAAGTGTACAGATGCTAAAGACCTGGTGCCCACTGGCAGTGCTGGTAGTAACTGATTACTTGTAATCTGGATTACGTAATCAGATTACATTTACCTTTTAGAAAATACATTACACATCATTCACACAATGGCTGGAAATTATTCATATGTGATCCTGGACCACAAAACCAGTCATAAGGGTCCATTTTTCAAAACTGATTTATTTTTATTTATACACCATCCGAAAGCTGAATAAATAAGCTTTCCATTGATGTAAGGTTTGTTAGGATCGGACAATATTGGCTGAGAGATACAACGATATGAAAATCTGGAATCTGAGGGTGCTAAAAAAAATTGTTTAAATATTAAAAGTTGTTCAAATGAAGTTCTTAGTAATCCATATTACTAATCAAAAATTAAATTTTAATATATTTACAGTGAGGAATTGACAAAATATCTTCATGGAACACGATCTTGACTTAATATCCTAATGATTTTTGGCATAAACAAAAAATGGATAATTTTGACCCATACAATGTATTTTTGTCTATTGCTACAAATATACCCCAGCGACTTATGACTGCTTTTGTGCTCCAGGGTCACGTATGGCATTTGTTTTGCACTATCAATAGGTTTCCTATCGACTGCAAAGGATCTTAAAAAACATGTGGAGGTACACTTTATTCCTCAACAATGCAAATCTAATCAAAGTCAGATGAGATGATTATTTTATTTGATTATTATTGTTTTTTTATTATTATTATCGTCACCAATTTATGTCTTGGAGGGCTTTTCGTTTTTTTTTTTTTTTTTACACATTTCTAATGTAATCCACACATCCATACCAAACAGAATGCATAACTTTTTTTAATAATAATAATAATAATTTCTTACATTTATATAGTGCTTTTCTGGGCACTCAAAGCGTGAGTGAATCACATTGACATGCAGAAAAACAAATAAAGTATTACTGTTTTTAAGTGTTTATTTTGATTATTATTTTAAAATGAGCTAATTAGTCAAATTAGGCATTTTTATGATTTAAATAATCTGCTCTTTATCAACTAATAAACCCCCTGCATCTTATTTTACAAACTCCAGTTTGAGAAAGCCTGGCATAATGTAATGTTTAATACACTTCATGGAGTTGATAACAAACAATGTTATCAATAATGTTGAGCTAGGTCAAAAGTAATCTAAAAGTAATAAAAACATAGAACACATTACCCAACATGTGTAATCCAATAGATTACATTACACTACAATTTCATCAAGTAATTTGTAATCAGTAACGGACTATAATTTGTAAGTAACCTGCCCAGCACTCATTGGAAAGTGATATTATAAAACAGATAGTTCCGGTGTTGTGCCCAATTCTGACCCCTGCCAGATTATTACCCCCCTAGTATTGGTAGGTTTAGGGTTAGGTTTGGGGGAGGGGTTAGGATTAGGTAATCAGATAGCGATTTCAACGAGAGGGGTAATAATTTGGCAGGTTGAGCCGCGTTCGAAACTACATCTTACTACTGTGTGTTGCTCGGCAACCACTTTGTTGGAACCACAACTGTTTCTGAGGAACTACATTGTTTGGTGGAAGAATACTGTTTTTATTAATATCATTACACTTTATTTGCTGTTTTATTCTGTGAAACCTTACTACGTATGGAATAATCGTTTTATGGAATAACTCCGCTTCGCGTCGTGCCTAACAACGCCCCTTAGCTGTTATAAATTCACTGTAAACCACGGCTTCTTGCTTTAGCAGATCCTTGACGGGACACCGTCACCATACTTTGGGGTATTCGGGAACGAGAGATCCCCCCCGAGTTGGTGTAGTAGAAAGTCAGATTAGATTTATATTTGTATTGTAAATTCCCATGACAGTGACTACTGACTAAATCCTGCCAGGTACCGTTGCTTAAAGGGGTGGTTGATTGCGATTTCACTTTTTTTAACGTTAGCTAGTGTGTAATGTTGCTGGTTGAGCATAAACAATATCTGCAAAGTTATGAAGCTGAAAGTTCAATGCAAACGGAGATATCGTCTTTTAAAATTCTGGCAGTTTAATGCCTACAAAGACGGCTGGTAGGGACTACAACGAGTTACTTCCCGGGTTCGTGACATCACAAACCCAGATAAACCCCGCCCTCGGGAAAAGGCAGCAAAGGGGGCGAGGCCATGCTGCGCTGCTTTAGAACCATACTTTGGGGTATTCGGGAATGAGAGATCCCCCCCGAGTTGGTGTAGTAGAAAGTCAGATTAGATTTATATTTGTATTGTAAATTCCCACGACAGTGACTACTGACTAAATCCTGCCAGGTACCGTTGCTTAAAGGGGTGGTTGATTGCGATTTCACTTTTTTTAACGTTAGTGAAAAATAAGCGTTTTTTTTTTAAACGAAGCATTAACACATGTTAGCCTGCACCCCATAAACACAATCAAGCCTAGAAAAAAAACAGTCAACCACCCCTTTAAAAATGTGCTATTTTTATGTTGCGCTGAATTAATAATCAATTAAAATCTAATTCTTCCTTTTGTCATCTAGCATATCTAAAACAGTATGTTGCACAGGAGAGTGCTTTATTATAAAAAGAGACTGTACATAAAAAGAAAAACAGATTATATATACAAAACGATAATAGAGATTATATTATTTGCAGATAATCTGCAAAGGAACATTTAAATTACAGATCACTTGCACATCATATTACAAGGCCTTGCAATGCTTAACATTAGTTGCTCATTGTTCAGACAGCTCTATGTGAGTTACATTCTCACAGATATTTCATTGGATTAAATAAATTAAAACACTGCTCGCCTTCAACAGCAGTTTGAGACGCTTCTAAAAACCAGAAACCAGAATCATCTTCGATGTTTGTGCCATGCTAACAGTTATGAGCTCACATTCATCAGTACTATACACTAAACTTGATTTTTTTTTTTTTTTCATGAAATCTAAATTCAGCAAAACTTCTGAACTGGCCAAAACAGAAAGACAAATTCAGCTTTGCATGGTCCCTCTACATGAAATATACAATCACTGAAACTAATTTCTGCTACTTTATGTAACAAACTCGAATCTGTGGGCGAGAGACTGGTTCCGCTATTGAGCCAGTGTCACCCGCTCAGTGCAACATAATAAAGTTCACAATACTTCAGCAGTTTCAACAAAAACGCCATCAAAGACCAGCTTGGCACAGTTTATACTCATTGTATATGGGTGAATCTCATGAAAACATGTCTAGGTCACAAAAGAAAAAGAATTGTTTTGCATAAAGGAAACGATGCCTGTAGGACCATCAAGAATTTTTGCATGTAACTTTTTTTTTTTCTTAGAATTCCCATTATTGATTATAATTAAATTTTCATAATTAAATCAGCATTAATTAATGGCAGTACAAGAAAGATATTACAGCAATGAGAATTAGATTTTATTTTATTTTTTAAATGTTTTGCATTATAGTAAAAATTTTGGGGAAAATGTGCTTAATTGCCACGAAAATAATGCCATAATGCAAAAAAATAGGCATCATTGTCTAGGAGTAAAATATCATTTGTAATTATAATTTCTTTAGTCTATTTTGGGGTGATATATATATATATATATATATAGTGTGGTCATGTTTTTGACAGGTTTATGAAGTTTAGTCTGATATGCAGGAGAATCTCTGCACATTACTGCATCGGTCTTTTCCCTCACCTTACAGTCATGAGGTAAAATGATTAGCCAAAACATTAGCAAAACCTGAAGGCGAAACGTAGGTAAAGACGTAATTGTCATTTTTATATTGTCGCCTAATTATTTACCAGGCATTATAATATTCCAGAAATGACATTCAAACATTTCTTCCTCACGGTAAAGGAAGAGCTTGACAGTTTAGATTAAAAAAAAAACGTTTTGGAAAAATCAAAACTAACTAGCCCTAGCGGACACTTGGCAAATACGGGTCTCTATACGATGACAAAACACGCACAAAAACAAACACTAGCAACAGCCTACAGGCAACGTCTCACTGTAATATATGTACAAAATATATGAGGCAACCTAAGCAGAAAGCAGCGAGACTTGTTTCTTTTCATATTCTTCTGTCTCCTCAAACCTTGAGCACTGCAGATGCTTGGATACATTGGCGATTGGACGAAAACAAACATTCAGTCATATCCTAATGCACTTTGCAATGTTTGTAACTGATTGGCTGCATTGCACGCCGTCTCTGGGATTTAGCATTAGTCAGCGTAGTGCATGATGGACTCGACGTAGTTGCCAGGAAACAGTCCGGTCACACCATTACTCACGCCCTCGAACCAGCCGTCATCATTTTTCTTGATGATGTAGATGATGGCGCCCTCCATGAAGGACAGCTCATCATCTTTGTCCTTTGCGTAGTCATAGATGGCCACCACTGAAACGGAGCAGACACGGTTAGTATGACATGGGTTATTTATCTATCCATCCATCCAAGGTGCTTCATTGTAGAGGGAGAAAATGTAAGCTCAAAGGCAGAGGGCGCTCTCTTACCCTTCTCTAAGTAGGATTTTGGGGCCCAGTGAGGGTCTCCATCAGCATAGGGGTCATTGTATTGCACCAGAGCTGCGTCTTCTTCATCATAATCCACAGGTGGAGGTGGAGGAGGTGGAGCTGCTTCCTCAAACAAGGGCGTGTCCTCAGGTAGCGGAGGAGGGGGTGGAGACGGGCTGTCTGTTACTGGAGGACAAAGAAGAGGGGAAACCCTCACTATGACATAATTCAGTTTTAATGTCAGAATCCTACATTTAGAAATACATCTCTTAATATTGACAGTGGCACAGTACGCATTACATTTAAAGCAATCAAATAATTCCCGGGTAGAAGAAAATGTTAAGAAAACACTTTTTAATGTTTTTTAAATATTGTAACGAAACAGTTTCACATGTGTATACTATAATTCCTCAACGGATCAATTTTTTGTTACATTCTTTCTAAGAAATAATAAAAAGAGATGCCAATAACACTCTTTTTTCAAATGACTTTTTCTTAAATATGATATCAGGACTGTTGTACCACGGTGAAAATTTGAACTTTATTTGAACTTGAATTTAGAAATGAAAAACATGTTAATCATGTATATATGAATTTAGTTTTGAATAAATTAAATCAATAGATTGTCATTGACCCTACAGATGAGCAATAGAAATAATGATGTTTACCTTAGAAAACACCACCAATAAAAAGCTATATTATTATATTTTATTACAGTTTAAATTCTATCTATTCAAAATATCTATAATTTTAATAAATATAAATATTAAATGTTACATTTCAGGTTCGGAGAATAATTCAGACAGTGCAGGCTGCAGGTAGGTGAACGGAGACCATATGTGACGGTCTATGCACTATGCTTCTGTGTGCATTACTCACTGTTCTCCTGAACTCTGGCCACAAAGCCAGTGAGAGGAATCTGGGGCGTCAGCTGCGCCAAGGGAGGAGGTGGTGGAGCGACAGACACTGGAGTCACACGGAGCGCAGATGCACACACACACATTCACACACATTCAGCCAGACAGACAGATGATAACAGGCAAAAACAAGCCCAAAGAGTTACACACAGGCATATAAACAGACAAAGCCGTTGTGTGTTATTGTGACATGAAGAGATGAAAAGCAGAAAAGCAGGCAGATCATCGGTTACTAGGTCTGCTAGTAACCTCTTTATTACAGAGAAGTGATTGGTGCTGCTAGTGGCTAAGAAATTACACATTTGAGCTTGATATTTGTTATCTAATGCAATGGCATTCAGTGCAAATTAAAGGTATAGTTCACCCAAAAACAGACATTTGCTGTTAATTTACTCATCCTCAGGCCATTCAAGATGTAGGTGACTTTTTTTTTTCTTTCAGTAGAACAGTAAAGAAGGTTCTTTGTGATTCATAAAATTCAAGTCAATGGCTACTGTCATTTTTGAGAGTCAAAATTAATACCCGTGGCTCCTGATGATATATTGAGGTCTTATGAAGTGAAACGATTGGTCTGTGCAAGAAACTGAACATTATTTACAACATTATTAGCTGCAATCCAGAGCCTCAACCAAACAGGGAAATCTGTTCTAATAACTGATTAACCAGTTCGTTTACGAAATCAAAAAATGACATCCGCAATTATATTAATAAAGTACCATATAATTATGTGAAATATAGGTGTTTTACCATGTGTAAAGCATATAAAGTTAATAAACTACTCCTAATCAACTCACCTTTTTACATAGACCATGAGAAACAAACAAAAAAACATTCATTTCGCCCGAACCAGACATCACTCTGGATCGTTTACCTGAGGCTACAGATAATAATGTTATAAATAATGTTCAGTTTCTTGCACAAACTGATTGTTTCGCTTCATAAGACCTTAATATATTGTCGGGAGTCACGGGGATTAATTTTTTGTGGCCTGATAAGCTTTTTTTTGACTCTCAGTAAGACAGTAGCTGCTGAATTGCATTTTATGAATTACCAAGAACCACGGTTTCAGTTAAAAATCTGCTTTATTGTTCTACTAAAGAAAAAAACACCTACATCTTGAATGGCCTGAGGGTGAGTAAATGAACAGTAAAATTTCATTTTTGAACTATCATTCATGATTGGATGAACTATCCCTTTAGTTGTCCAAGTACTTTTTAGAGTCACTAAATATCTCTCCCTAACTTGGAACTGAACTCACTTGTGTTCTGGGGGTATGTGGGACCCCCGTTCAGGTGGGGTTGAGGCACAGAGAACTGGGAGGAGCCGGCAGGGGCGCGCCGGTAGGTGCCGGTGGCTGACACCATAGAGGCAGAGGAAGAAGTGGTAGAGGAATTGTGTCTGGAGACCTGCCGGGAGATTGTTCCAAACTGAGACATTGGGATTGGGCCCAAACCTGGACCTTGAGGAACTACTGTAGACAGGACAGAGTCACAGAAGATAAGTACAAAAAAATAGATGACTCAATCAGGGGTGGGAGGAATTACCAAAATAACCCGTTTTAAAACTAGCATGGCCACTTGGGCTGGGCGATATGCCCAAAAATATTAATCACAATATTTTTTTCCATGTTGATTTTCAATGTTATCGACATAAATTTGATCATCTTGATATGATGTTGTTCATCGCCCAGCGCTAATGGCCACTGTGAAAAATGTGAGCTGTCACCTGGTGCAATACTGGGAGGTGAGGGTGTTGGCACAGCCAGAGGGATTCCCATACTATTACTGCTGTTCTCGCGCCCGCCGCTGCCCCCACTACTGCCACTGAGACAAAGAAAGACAACAGAGTTACAAAGAGCTATTAAACCAACAAGCATGCATTGTCATAAATTCACAAAGTGGCATCCATTTCTCAGCCCATCAATAAAGTAATTTATGGCACTATCAAAACCTTTTATAACTTGAATCTGGAGAATAAATGTGATAAACCAAAGGGTACTGTTATTTTCAACCAAATTCACCTTCAGTTTTCCTCAAGTTCCTCAAGTGAATCAAGTTTATCAGCAAAGAGAAGACCTCTAGATTTATACTACAGCACCATAGAACTTAAAAAATGACCAATAAATAAGGGTAAGTGAATGCCATAACTTCACTGACACATCAGTGTTTTGAGAAAGGAAAAGGAAATAAAGATGGAGATTTTGAGAGTTTAAAGTTGCACCAACATAAATCTTTTTTTAAGGTTAGAAACACACAGAAGCTCATTTCTGGGCCTTTATTTCTCCTAATCGTGACTTTATATCTAAAAATTGAGACTATTTCTTGTAACTGTAACTGCAAGCTTTAAAAAATATCTGATGTTTGGCTGTTCTGATGGTGTTTTTATATTCTAGCTCTCGTGAAAGACATTTTTGACTTCAGCATACACTACCATTTAAAAGTTTGGGTAATTCACCTTCAGTTTTCCTCAGTGAGTATAACAAGCCCGCTGGGAAAGCAATGACAGAGGTGAATCAAGTTTATCAGCAAAGAGAAGACCTCCAGATTTATGCTACAGCACCATAGAACTTAAAAAATGACCAATAAATAAGGGTAAGTGAATGCCATAACTTCACTGACACATCAGTGTTTTGAGAAAGGAAAAGGAAATAAAGATGGAGATTATGAGAGTTTAAAGTTGCACCAACATAAATCTTTTTTTAAGGTTAGAAACACACAGAAGCTCATTTCTGGGCCTTTATTTCTCCTAATCGTGACTTTATATCTAAAAATTGAGACTATTTCTTGTAACTGTAACTGCAAGCTTTAAAAAATATCTGATGTTTGGCTGTTCTGATGGTGTTTTTATATTCTAGCTCTCGTGAAAGACATTTTTGACTTCAGCATACACTACCATTTAAAAGTTTGGGGTTAGTGAGATTTTGCATTTTTATTTGATCAAAAATACAGTAATATTGTGAAATATTCTAACAATTTTTTTTTGTTTAATTATTATTATTATTATTTCTTTTTTTAAATGTAATCTATTCCTGTGATGCAAAACTGAATTTTCAGCAGCTGTTACTCCAGGCTTCAGTTTCACATGAAATTAATCTGGGAAACATTTCTTACTTTTATCAATGTTAAACAGTTGTGCTGCTTAATATTTTAAGGAAACCACATTACATTTTTAAGAGTCTATGATGAACAGAATACAAATCTTTTATTGAAAAGTCTTATAAAACTATTTACTGTCACTTTAGATCAATTGAATGCATCCTGGCTGAATAAAAGCATTCATTTCTTTCAGCTTTTTGAACAGTAGTGTATATTCCAGTATGCCCAGCACAGTGTCCCATCAGAAGGCCTGCGTTGTCTTGTGAATGTGTTGTGCATATGTGAGCTGTACCTGTGCGTTCGGGGTCTCTGATTGAGCAAGGCAGTGCGTCCTGGGCTGTTCTGGCTGCCCAGGCGAGCCGGACTGGTCATGTAGTCATTAGGCACCACAGGAGGTTTGACTGGCTCCAGCGTCTTATACGGTGTGCTTCGTCTGAAATAAAAAAAAAAACACACCTTTGTTACAGTAGAAACTACATAGAAAAAATGATGATGTTCAGATGCCAGACTCCTAATAACACAAGAATTGTGACAGTACAAATAACAAAATCACATGAGACAGCATATTTTATAACATTCTAATAATGGAGGTACACAGAAACAGCATTGCCACATGAAAAGTGTAATATAGTGACTTACCCCAGGGTACCTCTCCCTGCCATGGGTGGGCTTGGGGGCTTCTGTGTGGGTGGGTTAGTCCTGGATAATGTTCCTCCACCTCCCCGAGCTGGCTGGTTATTCCCTTGCTGAAAGACATTTGACAGGGAAAACAACATGACACCAACATAAATCTTTTTTTAAGGTTAGAAACACACAGAAGCTCATTTCTGGGCCTTTATTTCTCCTAATCGTGACTTTATATCTAAAAATTGAGACTATTTCTTGTAACTGTAACTGCAAGCTTTAAAAAATATCTGATGTTTGGCTGTTCTGATGGTGTTTTTATATTCTAGCTCTCGTGAAAGACATTTTTGACTTCAGCATACACTACCATTTAAAAGTTTGGGGTTAGTGAGATTTTGTATTTTTATTTGATCAAAAATACAGTAATATTGTGAAATATTCTAACAATTTTTTTTTTGTTTAATTATTATTATTATTATTTCTTTTTTTAAATGTAATCTATTCCTGTGATGCAAAACTGAATTTTCAGCAGCTGTTACTCCAGGCTTCAGTTTCACATGAAATTAATCTGGGAAACATTTCTTACTTTTATCAATGTTAAACAGTTGTGCTGCTTAATATTTTAAGGAAACCACATTACATTTTTAAGAGTCTATGATGAACAGAAAACAAATCTTTTATTAAAAAGTCTTATAAAACTATTTACTGTCACTTTAGATCAATTGAATGCATCCTGGCTGAATAAAAGCATTCATTTCTTTCAGCTTTTTGAACAGTAGTGTATATTCCAGTATGCCCAGCACAGTGTCCCATCAGAAGGCCTGCGTTGTCTTGTGAATGTGTTGTGCATATGTGAGCTGTACCTGTGCGTTCGGGGTCTCTGATTGAGCAAGGCAGTGCGTCCTGGGCTGTTCTGGCTGCCCAGGCGAGCCGGACTGGTCATGTAGTCATTAGGCACCACAGGAGGTTTGACTGGCTCCAGCGTCTTATACGGTGTGCTTCGTCTGAAATAAAAAAAAAAACACACCTTTGTTACAGTAGAAACTACATAGAAAAAATGATGATGTTCAGATGCCAGACTCCTAATAACACAAGAATTGTGACAGTACAAATAACAAAATCACATGAGACAGCATATTTTATAACATTCTAATAATGGAGGTACACAGAAACAGCATTGCCACATGAAAAGTGTAATATAGTGACTTACCCCAGGGTACCTCTCCCTGCCATGGGTGGGCTTGGGGGCTTCTGTGTGGGTGGGTTAGTCCTGGATAATGTTCCTCCACCTCCCCGAGCTGGCTGGTTATTCCCTTGCTGAAAGACATTTGACAGGGAAAACAACATGATGACAACCTTTACAGTCATGACAATATCTGTTTATTCTAAATGCTAATCAGTTGCAAACATACAGCATGACGTAAACTACAAAGAAATATTTATACTGAACATAAGCCATTACACTCCTATAATGGTACCAGTTTTTCACAAATAAATGAAAAAAGTCTTCTCATATTGAATTACGTAGATGCACTATAATGTTCATTACACAACAACACTGTACAAAAAAAGTTTGATGTTTGGAAATAAAGAACAAGTGGTAGTGATATAGGAACCAGAATGCATTGTGGGTTGTGTAAGGCTGTACTTACCTTTGCTTTAAGCCACTAAGTGAAAGCATTAAGGAAGAGAGAAGATAAATCGTGTTATTTAATCACTTTAACGCAATGAAAAAGTGAGAGAGGAGAAGCGAAACAAAAGAGCTTTGAATAAAGAACAAACAAACACTGATCTAATTTGAGTGGTACGGTTAGGTTTTCGCTGGAAATTCGAGCATGGCACTGCGTCATTACGTCACGTCTGTAAACATAAAGAAGTTGTCCCGGCTGCTAGGCTATCACATGTGAGGATCCTGCAGGTGGCTGATCGTTTATAGCCTTTTCTCACAGCAGCCAGAATAATTAAATGTATCATTTTGATGGCGGATTGTAATCCATAAAGGATTATGTGTTTATGAAACATGTGGATGACACTCAATAACATTCCAGTTATAAATGTGCTTCTGATTACAGATAGCCTGGGTTTATATTCTAGCTCTCGTGAAAGACATTTTTGACTTCAGCATACACTACCATTTAAAAGTTTGGGGTTAGTGAGATTTTGCATTTTTATTTGATCAAAAATACAGTAATATTGTGAAATATTCTAACAATTTTTTTTTGTTTAATTATTATTATTATTATTTCTTTTTTTAAATGTAATCTATTCCTGTGATGCAAAACTGAATTTTCAGCAGCTGTTACTCCAGGCTTCAGTTTCACATGAAATTAATCTGGGAAACATTTCTTACTTTTATCAATGTTAAACAGTTGTGCTGCTTAATATTTTAAGGAAACCACATTACATTTTTATTTTAAGGGTCTATGATGAACAGAAAACAAATCTTTTATTAAAAAGTCTTATAAAACTATTTACTGTCACTTTAGATCAATTGAATGCATCCTGGCTGAATAAAAGCATTAATTTCTTTCAGCTTTTTGAACAGTAGTGTATATTCCAGTATGCCCAGCACAGTGTCCCATCAGAAGGCCTGCGTTGTCTTGTGAATGTGTTGTGCATATGTGAGCTGTACCTGTGCGTTCGGGGTCTCTGATTGAGCAAGGCAGTGCGTCCTGGGCTGTTCTGGCTGCCCAGGCGAGCCGGACTGGTCATGTAGTCATTAGGCACCACAGGAGGTTTGACTGGCTCCAGCGTCTTATACGGTGTGCTTCGTCTGAAATAAAAAAAAAAACACACCTTTGTTACAGTAGAAACTACATAGAAAAAATGATGATGTTCAGATGCCAGACTCCTAATAACACAAGAATTGTGACAGTACAAATAACAAAATCACATGAGACAGCATATTTTATAACATTCTAATAATGGAGGTACACAGAAACAGCATTGCCACATGAAAAGTGTAATATAGTGACTTACCCCAGGGTACCTCTCCCTGCCATGGGTGGGCTTGGGGGCTTCTGTGTGGGTGGGTTAGTCCTGGATAATGTTCCTCCACCTCCCCGAGCTGGCTGGTTATTCCCTTGCTGAAAGACATTTGACAGGGAAAACAACATGATGACATCCTTTACAGTCATTACAATTTCTGTTTATTCTAAATGCTAATCAGTTGCAAACATACAGCATGACGTAAACTACAAAGAAATATTTATACTGAACATAAGCCATTACACTCCTATAATGGTACCAGTTTTTCACAAATAAATGAAAAAAGTCTTCTCATATTGAATTACGTAGATGCACTATAATGTTCATTACACAACAACACTGTACAAAAAAAGTTTGATGTTTGGAAATAAAGAACAAGTGGTAGTGATATAGGAACCAGAATGCATTGTGGGTTGTGTAAGGCTGCCGACTCACAACCCACACAAACTAAATAATTGGTTGAAATAGTGACCAAGAGGCAAAACTTACGGACTGCAGCTTTAACCATCATTCAAAGGAAACTGCCTCAAATACGTATTTCGCAGAATTGTTGGTATTAGGTCCACAACAATCTAGCTAAGCTAATATGAGTTAATATGCCATAACATTATGGAAAAATTTAATTTTACACTCCCATACTCCTCAAACATGTTGCTAACAATGTATAATACCTTTTTTTAGTAAGTCATTAATAAATATGATATAATGCTTAACAGTATTTGGTAATTGCTTCTGAGTCAAATACGAATATGTAAAAAATATATAAATATATATTTAATGAATAAAAATCTTACATTTATGACTGAAGTATATACTAACATTTAAAAGCTTGGGGTTGGTCAGCTTTCTTTTTTTTTTAAAGTTTTTGAAAGAAGTCTCTTATGTTCGCCAAATGCAGTGAAGTAATATTGTGAAATATTATAAAAATAAAATAATAAAAAATACATTCTCTCTGTTCTGTCTATCCATACATCGATACATTTATTTATGAGGTATACACAGTACTTACTTTGCTATTACCTTTTTATTCAGTAAGAATTTTAAATAATTAAAAATTGTAATTTAAACACCTTGTTGCAAAAAAATACTAGTATGTTCAGTAACATATTACATTTTGCTGTGGTAACATTGAGATTGATAACTATAATTTTACTAGTACGGTTATTGAATTTTGAAATTTTGGTATCAATCCGACATCCACCAATTATGATAATGGCAACAAAGTTGTGACTGATGGCGGAGGAGAGAGGCGTGTCCTCTGGGCATGTCAATCACAGGTGACGGACACAGAGAGAGCATCATTTGATGAGTTAAGTGTCCTAATTACAGAGCCAGTATGAGGGCAGCCTGCGGGCGTTTACTCCGCTGAGGGGGAAAAGGCCAACGCACATCAGTACCAAACTAATGAAGCAGTTAAAACAGGTCTCGGGGTGAGCTGCCAAGATCTGCCTCAATTATATGTATAGGGAATGAAAAGGCTGAACAGCTAGTGAATAATGTTGACAACACACCATCCACACCAATCATGGCGTCATCCCATAAAAACCATAAAAGACACATAAAGGTCAAAGTAAAAAGGCAAAGACATCTTTCTTAATTACATCTCAGTTCAGATAGCGATAATCTAATGTGATAACATCGGTAAGAGGGTCCAGAGAGCAATGTCATTATAACAGCTCAGAGCTGACACTGATGGACATGAATAATTTAATAACATGAATATAGTAAGGGAAACCCGAGAGGGGTCTACAAACACACACACACACACACACACAGTAGATCATGATGGATCAATTTCTTTATCAGTTTGTTGAATCCACTTTTGAATTCTGTTAATACTGTAAAGCAGTCAGGTGTAGTTTGTGCATAATTTTTATTCATGTCAACAAGGAAAAATAATTAAAAAATGATCCAGTCGCGATTCTAAACTGTTTGAACTACACTTAAAGGGATAGTGCACCCAAAAACGAAAATTCTGTCATCATTTACCCTCATGTTGTTCCAAACCTGTATCAGTTTCTTTCTTACTCTGAACACAAAAGAAAATATTCTGAAGAATGAATAAATTAATTCAAAGTGACAGAAGACACATTTATAATGATTTATAAAAAAATACATATTTTAAATAAA